AAATCTGTACAAAGACTGTAAAATGTTTAAAACAAACAACAAATATTTTTTACATTTATTATGAAAAAACGCAAAAAAATATGTAAATTACTGACGCTTGTTTTTTTTTTAGATTTTTTTTTAGTGTTGCAGTCATTGTTTTAAATGGTTGTAAAATATTCATATATTCAGTTCTCTAATAATTACACTAATGGGCAAAGTTCATACCAAGGATGTACATCTATGGTTTTATCAAAAGGGTTCAAAGAGTTCAAACATATCTACGGTATGGTCACAATGAAGGAATTGCAACAAAGAAATCCCTCTAGAGAAGAAAGTTTTAAAATCCTGTTCTGTCATTTGTTCATCAGTTTCCTCTGGAGGGCGAGTCTTTGTGTGGTTTAATCCAGAGAAACAAATAGGCAGATTCAATACAACATTTTTGGTTGTGTTATCTGCGGAGCCCTGAAACTGTCGGATTTAAGAAAACACTTTTTTCTGCTGGTGCTCACTTTGTAGTGACCATATTGAGCACAATCTACAATAAAAGTTTTCACAATACACTATATCAAAAAGTAATCAAATGCCATTTGTCTGTTTTTTTTTTTTTATAGTCTTTCATTTATGCAGTCTCCTTTGAAAATGTCTGAACTCCGGTGTATGCTTGTCAATTCATGCACGTCTGGTTTTATCACGTTGAAGCTGTCTTTAATTTCATACTTTTAAAACAAAACAAAGTGGATATTAAGCTTCAGATTGTTGTTTATAATCCATGTGTAAGCCATCATTAAACAAAAGTTTGCACGTGTTCTTTAGTTGTGTAAATCAAATGCGTCAATCTGATTATCGACATACCTCCACTACAGGGTCATGAGCATGAAATAAATGAATTATGTGAAAAGTATAGTGGAGGAGGGGCCACTTGTTGGCAAAGATTCGGGTATCATCTGTACATTTAATTCATATTATCTTTGTGATTTTGATTGTATAGTATTACTGCTCTTTATCTGCTCTTTTTAACAGTTTGTAATCCACAATTCATTTGTTTTAGGCAGTCTACGGTAATGCAGTACAACAAATCATCAGCCATACAATTGTAAAATATTTGTGTGCCCTTCATTGTATGAAATATAAGTTTAATATGGTACAGCCCTTTGCTCAGGCAGCAGAGGTTTTATTGGTTTTTCAACTCTTGTAAAAGGGAAACAGTAAATGCACTGAATATTTATCAGTAGGTTTGCCTACAATGCAATTGACAAAGTGTTACATGTATAACAGTTGGACTATTAGATTGGAACACCTTAAATATATTGCCCTCTGAAAGTATTTTTATTTGATCCCAACAAATCTTAACATTTAGGTTTCAACGTTATGCTTTGAGGAAAGTCATAAAAAAGGACACATTTCAATAACACCTGAATGTGAAACAAATGAAAGACACTCATGCAACCTAACAATGCAAAGTCACATAGCTCCAATGAGTTTAATGTTTTGTTATTTTTCACGTCTTGGTGTTTTAAGTGACACTCAGGTCTGGAAAGGAAACGTTTTGGAATTTTTGTTTTCTGTTAAAACGTTATATGTGAACCCTTTTCTTTTTTATATAATGTGGTTGCTTTATTCTCAAATAAAAAGACAATAAATATTTTAAGAAAACTCCCGCTTCGTTACGTGTTTCATAAAACTTCACTTCTGTGGGTGTAAAAATGATTGCAGCTGATGCCACTTGCGTTGGCAGATTGATTGACCAATGAAATGCCCTGAGCTTCGACAAATCAGAGCTCTCGGTGGGCGGGATCACTGAAGATTCTGCAGAGGCTGTTGTGTGGCAGTTGGACAAACCGACGTAGTGTGCCACGGAAGCTAAACCCTGTAGGACCGTCGTGAAGAAGGTAAGCAATTCTGAGCAAAAAATGCAGATAGTTGCATCTTCTTCTAAAGAGCCTTGTCTACAATGTGAAGAGAACTACCATGTGTTACTATCGTTCAGTAAAACTCACTTATTGGCCACAAATTGTGAGAAACGGCGTTTGGCTAATATTAGCAACTGCTAACAAAGATGGCGACGCCATAACTGAAAGAGGGCAGAGTGACGCAGTAAATAGAGGCGGGCTGAACGCTGCTGTGGCGCCTGCTTAGAATTCTCAAAGACAGAGAAATGTACTTATGCTACATTTGTAATATTAGCTAAAAATAATGTTTATAATTTATTTTACTTACTTACTTTTTTGCGATGTATGGAAGTTTTGTATGTAAATGAACAATATTAACCTGTAGCAAGTTAACACATGTTAATCATAGTCGTGTCTGACAAGCCACCTGACCTGCCAACGTCTTCTCTAACGTTAACAATAATATTTTAATTGGACCAGGTATTCTTACCACTGCTTTTGATATTGTGTTTATGTAGTTCTGTTAGCCATCTGCGTTTCTTAATTGGTTTACTTTCAACATCTGTTACCTCTTCCCCCAATTTGTGACTTGTGGGCATGAAAGACACTTTTTTTTTGTACACACACATTTATTCCAGTCAGTTTTATTGGCAATTAGTGACAATAGTGTACCCCAAGCCTCCATTTTATAAAAGGCAAAGCATGTTTATTTATATAGCACCTTTTCAACACTAGGCACACACGCGCCAATGAGACATTCTCACATTTCAGTTTTTTTATTGTGGGAATGGCAGCAGCTGTCAAAAGATTTCTGATTCTAAAAAAAATACTTGTTTAATTAAATGTGTCGGCCACTTAACTAATATCTAGTAGTTTGCCAGTTCTAGTTTCCATTTTTGTATCTCTATTAATATTTGTCTTCTATTAAATATCATAAAATATCTGGTTATTTAAAGTATGGGTTTGTCCTACTGATATTACAACTCCCTGAACAGGAAATCTTCACAATAGAGAAGTCCAAGAAAAGATAGTGTTACCCACTTAAACTAAATGCCTTGTTGTTTTAACTTTATTTTCCTTTTATTCCCCCAGACTTTGAAATGAATAGGATACGAATCCACGTGTTACCTTCGAGTCGGAACCGGGTGACCCAGACTCCTCGTCCCCAGGAGCCCCAGGCCTGCTCCTTCACACAGCGACCATGCTCTCAGCCTCGCCTGGAGGGCCTGGACTTCTGCGTCAAACACATCCTGGAGGATAAGAACTCTCCGTACAAGCAGTGCAGCTATGTCTCTGCAAAGAACGGCAAGCGCTGCCCCAACGCTGCACCAAAAGTCGAGAGGAAAGACGGGTGTGTGGACAATCTCATATTCTTCTGCTTTTAACAAGTCAGAAAAAGTAGAACCTCAGCTTTATTATCAACTATAACTCTTACTATGGAAGACACAAACACACAATAACAAATCCAAACTGCTTGGTCAAATCTCTCTCCTCCATTGACTGTATTTCTTCTGTGTTCTTTAGAGTGACGTTCTGCACAGAGCATGCTCGCAGGAATGCCATGGCCCTCCGAGCTCAGATGAGAAAGGCGTCTTCTGGTCCTTCCCCAGAGTCTCTGTTGTCGCAGCTCAGTGGATACAACCGCGCAGAGACTCACAGCGCTGACGGAGGCCGCTCTGAAGCTAGCCGGATTCTAGGTAAATGATCTGGACAGAGGTTTATCCCATCTGCAATGACTTGTATCAGAGCTTTGTAAAGAGGCACTGACTGTTCGTTAGTGTCATATTCCAATTTTTTTGTTTAGTTTGAAACAGTCATATTTATACATGCACATTACATCCAGTTGTTTTTGAAATTGTAAATCCTGCACATGTCTTCTCCACAGTACCTCTTTTAAATCACCACAGCACTCCACTTTAAATACAGTATATAGCATTTTTCATATGTAAATATTGTTAATTCATCTCTGCCCCGATCAAGACGTGCTGCTTGCTGCAGGTTTCAAAGGCCACCAACATGAACTCCTTCCTGTGGTCTGTTGATTTCTCCCAGAGAAACAAAGGGGCTAATCATTTCAGTTGGAAGGAACTAAATCCTGTAAGCCCAAATCATTAAGGGTAGTTTAATGCTTTTTATATATATTTTTATTTAACATGATTTAAATCGTATACTTTTCTTTATCTGCTGACGACAAGAACAAATATTATTACGAGTACTTTCATTAAACTGTCTGCTGCCACCAGAGCTGCACTGAGCTGTACAAACCCTGCAAAGCTCAGACATAATCACAAACACTAACATATCATTAGTACAGTTCAGCCTTTTGTAATTTACCATAACCCGCCTCGTATGTTGAGAAATGATTACAGGATTATTCTTGTATAGGAAAAACTCACACTCTTATGGTTTTAGTTTTAAGTTGGGGGGCAGTTTCTTGATCAGTTTGACTCTTGTTGTCACTATTTTTCAGTTTGTCATGATTTGTCCCTAACCCCCGCTGCTCAGACTGCACTGACTGTTCATTAGTGC